GCCGTCCACTCACAAGCGGCCGCTTACGCCAACATTATGAGCCCGTGTGTCGCCCGACAGATACTGTCCGTTATTAACGTTATTATGGGCGCCGACGGCACTGATGATGGTATGCGTGGCCCTAAAATGTGTTTAATTTATTCCTAATTTAATGCTTTGTTTTGTAGGCAAGAAACGCATCGACCAATTGGCCAGAAATTCCCGATACTTCCGGCGGCGACTCAAACAGTTGGGTTTTGTAGTGCTCGGCGACGACGACTCACCCGTAGTACCCGTTATGATATACTTTTTGTCTAAAATATCGTAAGTATACTGTATTTTGATTTTGGGTTTTGTTAGTAAAACTTATAACACAATTTTGTTTTGGTGTTCAGATGTATCATACGTTCAGTGGTGACCAAAGGGGTGGGTTTAGTGGGCGCCGGCTTTCCCGCCACATCCCTATCCACAGGACGCGTCCGCTTCTGTGTGTCCGCCTCTCACACGAAACAAATGCTGGACAAAGTGCTGGACGTGATGGACGAGATCGGCGATCGGGTGTCCGTCAAGTACTCAAAGCTACCAAAAAGCGATGAGATTATCGTTTATTAACATTTGGTGTTGAGATTGAAAATTATAGCACATTTCGAGACCAAAACAAAAACAATTTTATATTTGATTCACAATTCAATTATAATAAGCCATAAGAACTACTTTGTTAATGAAATTCCAGTTTTTATTATTATTATTATTACAATTATAACTATATATAATTATTATTAATTAATATTAATATAAAAAATTTATAATTAATTATCGAAATATTGTATTTTAATCGATTGAGTGATGCGTTTAAATTATATTTAATGTCATTATTATATAATAATTCACATTCAGATTGTAATACAAGTGATTCCCTTTCAGTTGTGACATATTTTTATGAGAAATAATGTTTTTTCTCCGTTTTTTGTTTTGTTAATTACAATAATAGTGTGTTTTAATGCAATATAAGGCTATTATTATGATATATATATTTTTTGATAAAATAAGCTTTTCATGTGTTTTTATTATAAAAAATTAATTCCCGTTTTATTTACGAGTGAATTGAGAAAAAATTAAATACAAATAAATAAAAACCATTGGTTTTAACGCAATGAATATGTTAAATAATTGTACGCAAGAGTGGAGTCATAGGAAAAACAAAATATGGTTGAAGACATTGGATTAAATTATGGTAAAAAATAACAAACAATATATGCTTTTTCTCAGATACAAATCCATACAAAAAAATTGTGTTTCAATTGTTATTCCTATCGTTATATCAATATATGAAATGTCTTTCAATGTCTTATTCTTCGCCAGTTTTGTCGCCAATTATTTTCATTTCAAACTGAATTTTCCCGTCAATTGTAACCTAACGTTAGGCTGCGGTCCAAACACTTCACTCGCATTAGTTATCATTAGTTCAATGGCTCTGATCTTTTGGATG